ATCGTTGAAGTACCGTTGAAGCAGCACCATGTCTGTCGTCTTTCGCAGCGATTTACTCGCTGTCTCATCAAAGCTGATTTTGCATGTCTGTGGAGGGTGCAGGCTTGTCGTTGAGCCTTAGCTTAGCTTCCGATGTGTTGGTCTGCAGGGATGCACCTTCCCGCGCCAATGTGAATTGAACGTCTCATTGGTGCATGAAGATGCTGTTTCATATACCGCCATCTTTGTGTATGTGCAAACTTCGACTCGTTCCAAGCTTAGCGGAGCTGTAGCAGTTGTAATTATGCAGCCTCGTCGTCTTTCGAGCGGCTGTATTCGCGGCTTCAACCCTGTCAAGCATTTCCATTTCGTGTGAAGTGCATCTAGAGGCCGCGAGCGACAATTCGAAACCTTGCCGTTCCGCCCCAAACACGAGGAGAAGCACCCTCTTGAGTCAATTCTCTGTGGCTGGCGTTGTTCTTAAGCTCCCTCCGTGAGCTCGCATCTCTGTGTGGCCGGAGCCCTATTGCAAGACTTTCCCTGCTGTTATTTTTGCATTGGACACGCCAGTGGATTCCGCTTGATGAAACGACTTGAAGCCGAGTGAGGTGCGGCCGAGCGCAGTGCGCCGTGCGGTCTGTTGCGAAAGAAGATGCAGTGCCGCTGCGGCACGCCCTTCTTTTGAAGCCGCTTCCGCTTTGCGGGTGCTTAGCGACGTTCGCATGTGCCAAGTTCTGATCTTTTGCTTCCTTGGATGGAAGTAGCTCAGAGGCCCGAGGCAGGGAAGAGCCTTGGTTACAGCTCGTACGATCCGGGGGTGCGGTTGCCCAACGTGGATCCGCGCCTCTCCTCGACACTCTCGGGAGTCGTGGCAGCAGGGGTGGCTTGTTCGGGCGAGGTATATAAGTGTTGCGATGGCTTTGTTGAGCAGTTTAACAAATGTCCGCTTCCTGCTGCCGGATGCTGCCACGTTTGTCACACAGATCCAGGATCAGATCTTGTACGGCTGTTGATGTCGTATGCTCCTCTTTGCTTGTTGCCTTCTGGTGGGCATATTTGTTTGCCTGCTTTCTTTTGTGTGCTTGAAAAGCTGCATAGCTCGAGCGACCAAGCAAAGCTTTTGGTGGAAAGGCTTCTGCACATTGTCGGGATTCGGCTTTGCTGTCACGGTCTTATGAAGCTGTCCCCGTGCACGAGCCACTCACGCCGTGTAACAGTTTTCCTTGAGGCTAATGCAGGCCACGCAGAACAGCATGACATGCTTTATACAGCTGCCTAGCAAAGGCTTGCTTCTCCGGCAGTTTCACCAGCAAACTATATTGGTGTTTGCAGCTGTGCACAGTTTTCGCAAGCCCGCATTTGTGTGTGCCGTGCCCGTCTGCCTGGGTCTTCACCAGCCTTCGGCATGTGATCCATGCGGCGGGACCCGCCCTCAGCCTTAAACCCTATGCCCTAAAACTTCCCTACTTTCCTAAACCCTAAACCTTATGCCCTAAAACGTAAGCTCGCGTCACGACCAACACCGCAGGCCACGCCGAAAGGCACGGGCATCTCTGCCTGGTCGACAAGGAACGGGCTTCAGGGGACGGTGCCTTCTGACTGTCTGAGGCAGGTTGGTTGTTATTTCAGCATGTGTGAGTCCCGCGGGATGGCGCCAGGAGCCAGGGGGAAATTCCTAAACTTTCCTACATCCTAAACCTTTGACCTTGAAACCTAAACATGAGCTGAAACCTCAGTGTCACGCCTTCGTAGCCTTTGCGCGGGGCCATGGGTATTCGGCGAGAGGGACCGATGTCCCGCTAAGCTCGCTGGGGAAGGTCGAGACCGTTGCTCTGGCCTTTGCAAGAGCTTTTTAAAGCCACCTGTTTCTGTAGTTCGGGTGTAGGGTATCGGGACATTTCATGTAAGAAGACAAGCGTCCTACGTCTAATGCCTCTCACGACGCGCCTAGGTGGACTTGAAATCTCGTGGGTTCGGGGCTCTTCAATAGGCCATATGTTTGGTATAGCAAGCTCGGTAGCTCAGATTGCCATGTGGAAAGTCTCTCGCTTACAACCTACAGCTTGTCTCCCAACATAAGACACAACAAACGCGATACCCATCGTTTCCCAATGTCCTGGTTCAGCGCGTTCATGCTTCTCGGTAGAGTATATAGTCTTGCTGGTGGTTTGCCAGGGTACAGTGACTCTGCGAAGGCACTGCTAGCCTGCAGGCTTCCCGGCGAAAACCCGCGGTGGAAGGATCGCGGGCTTCGACGTTTGGTCGCTGCAGAGATGAAAAAGACGGCTGCGACGCAGAGTCCGTGAGCTTCCCCTAAACACGAAACCCGGGCCGGGACGTTGTACCAGCAACTGCTTGTAAATAGGGATTCTAAATGGGTTGATATTTCCAACTATTGATGGATCATCCGTGTTGGCAGTCTTTGCCTTCAACCACGTGATTCACTTAACTCCAGGCCCGGAGCTCGCGAAGTATAGAGCTTTTTGGTGAAGAGCTCGCAGGAAGAGGCTGCCTTTAGAAGCAGACGGTTTACTCCGCGCACGTCGGAACGCAGAGTTCGAACATCCGGAAGCAATCCTGCGTTACCACGACAGAGCAGATGTGTGTTGCTCACCATTGCTACATAGGAGTCGGCATCAATGCAAAGCCTGTGCTTGAGCGCATCGAACATGGCAAACAGCGCACTCTCGCGGACTCTTCGGCTCGCAGTGCCCCACGCCCATCCATGACTGCCCTGCATTACCAGTACCTGATAGCTGGCGACTTCCTGAACAACAGCCACCGCAACCAAAGTCGCACGTTCACACGACGAAGTCACGCTAATTACCGGAGATATCAGAGCTTCGTCTTCAAGGGGACCAACAGTGTCAGGGCAGGGCTGGTTTCCTTCCTGCCAAGGCCAGCCGAGACGGCTTTGCAGCTTGGCTCCCCCATCCGGCCGGCATGCTCTGTGGAAGTGCTTCTCAAAGCTGAGAGCTCTAACTTCGAAGCCATTCTACGTTTCCTAGAAGGCACCTGAACAGAACAGTGCGGGTCTGCCGATTGTGCAGGCCTTGGCCAAAGCCGCCAGGCCTGGGGAGGTCCGGGCCTCGTTGGGTTTCTGCCGGCTCGGCTTCTCTTCTGTTTGCCGGCTGTTGGAAGCTTAAGGTGCTTTCGCTTTTGGTCCGACCACTAGAATCCGGAACCCCCACCTGATGGATGGAGAAAGTCGGAGTTGAACATTTTCTAGCTTGTGGCCTGGATTTTCGTTGGGTTGTGTTCCGGCCTGTTGACCAAGCATACGTTTGAACCTGAAGAATCTCGGACGCCACAACCAGACCCCGAGGACTTGACAAGGCTCACCGAAGTATCCCTTAAACTGTTCCTTCTACCATTAAACGCAAAGCCGCTAAACCTGAAACCCTAACTTTTCCTTCCGTCGTCTCCACAAGCCAAGAATGTCCCTCAAGTCTTTGCGAAGGCCAGTCCAAGGGTCCATTTCACTCAGCTTAGCGGACCAGGCTCGACCGTCTTAGGGTTTGAGGTTTGGCGTTTAGGGTTTAAGGGTGTAGGGGTTTAGGTTTCAGGGGTTTAAGGGTTTGGGGTTTTGGGGTTTAGGGTTTGAGGATTAGGGTTTACGGGTTTAGTTAGGTGTTCTTCTCCTATATGTATTGGCACGGGTGGTGGCCTGTGCAGTTTGGACCCGGGCTTTCTCCAGCAATCACCACGACAAGCACTCTGCCTGCAGGCGCCTAAGCTGAGAACTTTGTATCGGCAAGTCAGCGCGTAGGCTCCGCCTGCACCTCCGAATCTCACCAAAAACCCTTCTCAAGACTAGCGACCCAACATTCGTCTTCCAGCTTGCCGGACAGGCCGAAGGCCAGAGCTCCCATGTCGAGTGAGGCTCGGGGAGGGAAGGTTTTTCGCCCCTGTCCTCCTCCGTCAAGATCATAGCACCACGGAGTTTAGGGTTCCGGTGGGCTGTGTGACTGATGCGTTTGGATTTTTTAATTTGGTGGAGGCCAGAAACGAAGCACATCGCGGATGTTAGCATCCAAAGCACCCTGTTGTGTTTCCGCCAAGCCCTTGAAAACGCCAGTCTCCGATTCTTAAAGTGGGCGCTCCAGCATTGAAGGGCATGGATGAGCAGTTGGCTGCAGCATTCCGGCTTGCGAGGTTGGACTTGCGCTGGAGAGAGAGAAATTCTGCGACTTCATCGTTTGCCTTCGAGGCCGGTGCACTTTCGTGGGGCATCTGGCAAGCTACAGTGTCCGATCGAAGAAGTATGGTCAAGGTAACTCCATCACCGAGGAGGAACTCGAAGCGTGCAATCGGCTTCCGTTGTGCTTGTTTCTGGCACCTAGAGTCTAGAGTTCAGGGCATCTTGCGGGAAGTCCCCATCGATAGCGGGACACTCAATGAGTGAGCAAGATTTTCTCGGGAAACCTCAGAGGAGACGAAGAGCCCAGGCTGATGACTCCAAACATCGCGGAAGCCAAAACCAGATCCGAGGCGAAGGCTGAGCTGCCGGCAGCTCGTCAGGTGCCTCCAGCACCGGGCAAGCGATCGCGGGCCCGTGGGCCGGCTGAGCCGGGCCTTTGTGCGCTGCTTCCAGCGAGCCTGGAGAGGCCGGTGGGTAGCTCCACTTTCAGTGCAATAAGCACAAAGATATGTGATTGGGCTTTTCAACCCAGCACCTGTTGCATCTATCTAGCTCAGTCGGCACTCGGCACTTACTCTGCTCTGTGTGGCAGCCATTTTCGTGTGAGCTCAGACGTGTAAGGGTGCACTCCATACAAGTCAGCGATACACTTTTGGCACAGACTGAGATCGACGATCGATGGGAGGGGGTCCGACCACGACATGCCAGGACATAAGGCCGCAATCCTGCAACCCCGGCCAGGGAGCGGAAAGCGCTTCTGCAGACCACGTCCACGAGGGAATCCTGCTTATAAAATGTGCCGCCTTTCAATCAATGCACGCGAAAACTTTATGTGATCTCTTGCCAAGAGCGTGTTCGGGGCTCCCACTTACATTACTGTATGCGAGCTCGTGCAAAAAGACGGCGCCGGCGTTCGGCAGTGCAGGCAGAGGAGTACGACCTGGCTGACAAGCGCCAGCTGGCAGCCTTCCTCCAAGATGCGGACATCCAGCTGGTGCCATGGCTCGAGGGCTGGCGAAGCAAGCACTAAACCTGGCAAGCTGCTAGACCATGATATCATCCGGCGGTTGAGGCATGTTCAGACTTCAGACAGCATAGACATAAACTCGGATCTGCAGTTATGTCTAGGTGACATGAGTGCGGGTATTTCTACAAATTGGACTTGATTCGCCTGTGGCCTCGAACCGATTGGCAGATCTTGCTCTTGCTTCATCATGCTCAGACGTCGGAGTGCTGCGCTTCTCTCTCGATCAGTTTGTTGCCCGATCCGAATCCTCTGGGTCGATGGCTGTAGCTTCCACTGATCTTTCCCACGTCTACCCTGCCAGGGTGGCCGCCAGGGCACTTGGAGGATCTCCCCGGACGCTTTCCGCATCATCGTGAGGAACCTCAAAGGCCCGAACCCGGCCAGGGTGAGTCCCAGTTATCGAACTCAGGGTGGTATGTGCGGAGTCTTCCCAATGCGTGTCAGGGGACCGTTTCACCGTGGACATGCTCCAGGCAGAGAACATGTGTGCCCAGCTCAGTTTGTGGCAGCATGTGGCCGAGCAACTGGGCCAGGACGTTTTGCAGGAGGTTCTCCCGGATCGCAGGAAGCTGAGCGTCGGCTGTGCCAGTGCGATTTCGGAAAGATGGTTGTTGGTGGACGCTTCTCTGCGGAGGCCAGGGGCTGCTGAGCTGCGAGGACTTGGCACGATGCCTCCGCCGCCCGGATCCAGCTCCAGAGCCGGAAGAGGCCGGGGCGTGGACGTGAGCGAGCGTTTTCACGCGGCTCCGCGACAATGCCTGTGCCAGCCCAAGCGCTACGACCTGGCGCAGAAAAAGGGCCTGGCGGACTTCCTGATAGATGCGGACATCCGCCTCGTTCGCACCCCGGACCACAGGGTTGAACCCTGCACAGGTCTGCAGCCATCCGATCGGTCCTGTTGTTCCATGCTGGGATGGTCTAGTCCAGTAGTCTTACAGCGGTCACTGCCTCCATAATGAAACAGGGCTCGGCGGCCCGAGGTGCGAGCCGACTTCATTCTGAAGCTGCGGCGTGAAGGACAGCGGCTCCCGCGGCGCCAGGAAGCGGAGTCCGCCTACGTGGACAGCCGCACGGCACTCGTGACGCACGAGGAGGTGCGGTTTGTGGTTTGTGCTTCACTGCAACCTGCAACTACCACAGGATGTTGAAGGCAGCCTTATCAGCCTGCTTGCTGCTTTCCCTCTTTGTCAGATTGTTTGGAGGTCCAAGCCTGGGCCAAGGCACCAGAGGGCGCACCAGACAGCGCGGAGATAGTCTCGCTGTCCCATTGCTGGGAGTCGCGAGAACATTGTGATCCGTATGGATACCAGGTCGCCAAGCTAGCCAAGGCTCTTACAGGAAAGGAGTGGGTCTTCATCGACTACGTTTCTTTGTATCAGTTCCAGCGACTCCTCCGGATGCAGAATGTCAGCTTCGGGCGTGCGATGCAGCACATGCACGTGCTGTACTGCCATGAGAAATCAAGCACGCTCCGAATTGAGTCTCTGACGCCGGAAGCCGACATAGCAGAAGCCGAGCCAAAAGAAGAGTGCGTCAGGATGTATCACCACCCCAGCGGTCTGGTGAAACCAGTGCCGGTCACACAATTGCAAAAGAATCGCACCGCATACAGGCATCGAGGTTGGTGTGCCGCGGAGCGTGAGTGGTCCAGCACACGGACGGCCACCAACCTTTCGCGTGAAGTAGACGCCCTCGAAGGCGAGAAGGGGGGAATCGCCCCGATGTTGCCGGAGGCATTTCGAGAGAACGTGGCACGCCAACTTAAATTCACACATTTGGATGACGTAGAGACCGTCTGCAGGTTGCAAGCGGAAGTGTACAAAGAGAAGGCAGAGATGTGCAGGAGCCTGAGGCTCGTAGATTTGGGCGCGGACGCACTCGGCATCGCCCTGTCGTCTCTGGAGAACTACCCCAACCTGGAGAGCCTCGGCACGCAACAGCACTGCCCTGGGCGTGACATGTTTGACGGCGGCCAGTGCAGCCTCCCGGCAAGGGGCATCTGGCAAGCTGCTTCAGTTTTGGAGCCCCGCTCTGGTTTGAGGCCCAGCTGGCGCAGCAGCCCTGGTGCAGAGCCTGCAGATGCTGCACGAGCTGACGGAGCTCTGGGTTGATCTGACGCACAACAACAAGCTCAGCCCGGGGCCTCGGAGAGCTGCTGCGGAGAGGAGCCTCCACGTCCGGCGCTGTCCGCAGAGTCTCTCGCAAACTTGGAAAGTTCCCGCTCTTGAGTTGAGCTCTTCCCGGCGTCTCGCCTTTGTCAAAGAATCAATTTTGAGCGCGTCGCACAAACAAACCACGCCCAGGCGAGGAAGAGAAGATGCAGCTCCGCGCCAGCTTCGATGCGCTGCCAGTGGGCGAGAAGACGATCAACCTTTGATCCGAGGTCTCGGGCCCGGGGGCTCAGTGCGGTGGAACGTCGCGTGGCATTTTGGGGAGAGCTCGGGGCTTCGCTTCTTGAAAGGCCTCGGCCTGGTGGGCTCCGTGCCGTGGCCTTTCCTTGAGCGCTTACTGGGGCTTTCCGCTGAAAAAGCAGAGTCGCTGCGCTGTGCCGGAGTCTCAACATTCAAATCTGTCGCCGTAGCATTGCGCGTGCATGAGAAGAACACTTCGGTGTTGATCTTGTCTTGGGTCTTTGCTGATTTGGGACCTTTGAGGACTTGGGTCAGGATCTGACGCTTCCGGACAGTCAAGTACTGGAATTCCCAAGTGCGGCGACTTGGGTGTCCTGCACCCCCCGAAATTGAAAAGGTGTAGCGTCTGAAGCTGAAGAGGGGCTTCGTCGGAAATGCATCCTTGCATTTGTGATTGTCTCGTTCGGCTCAGGAGCTAAAGCACGAACCACCGCCCTACAGGGCTCAGAATGTCGATCATTTAAATGTAAAATTCCATGCCCTCGCCCTTGACCCTCAAGCGGAGCGCAAGCCCTGGATGCAGCAGCAGCGACACGTGAAGCCGCAGACTTTGCACCGCCCAAACTCCGAACTGAACCCCTGCTGGTGCAATTTCCGAGCGAATTGAATCAAGGGCCCCAGGATATGGAGGAATCGTCTCTATGTGTTGCTACATGCGCTGACTCTGGAGGTACATTAGTCTGAAAGTCATAATTTCACGATGTTATCGTGAAATCTGCAACAATCCTCAGCGCACAGCTTTGTTTTTGGATGCCATCGAGATTGCATCGCATTTCCCAGCGTATGGGCTGCAGAGTATGCCGGGCACTGTGGGGACAAGGTGTTTGGAGTGGTGCTTCGGTGCCTTCTCTGACGGACTTCGCAGTCCTCTGGTATGGTCCGGTCTCAAGTCTCAAGTCTTCAAAAAGTTCGGGGTGCTGATGAAAGGGTTGGGATGTGTTTCCATCGGAGCTGTTTGTGGGCCTTGAAAAGCTGAACTCACGTGTCAAGCTCGTTGCTCAATATCAAGAAACTGGTGTCGTCGTTTCTATCGGTATGCACCAGATTCGTTGATGAGAGTTGTTGAGTGACTCGGTTGCTAGAACCACAGGCTGGATACCGTGTATCCACTACGGAATCGTCGAAGTGAGCGCCGAATGTTCAACTTCAGAGGGGGAGAGGCAGAGGGGAGTTTTCGAGCATTTCTGTAGCAAGCCGGACGGTGTGCCGCAGTGTGCCTCAGCGTGTGCCCGCGAAAGAGGTGGAAGATCGCATCTAAATACCGATGTCCGAACCCTCAAGAGCCTTGACTCTTAAACAACCCGTCCTGGATACCCGAAATTCATGAAACTCGAAACCCTCAGCCTTGAAACTATTGAACCAAATCCAAGACACCCAAGGTAGGGCGTAGCGGCTTAGCAGCCGGCTGTGGATTGGCGTTGAACCGACCCTACAGGAATGAAAACGCTTCGAAGGTTCTGGTGGACCGTGATCTCCGTTTGGGTGACAATTTGAAGCTGAGGTTCAGGTCCCCAGGACGCGGGTTTGTCATTGAGGACATCTCGCTTTTCGCAGCAGGGCAAGGTCCAAGAACTTGTTATTCAGGCCAGGTTCTTTCGGAGCCTTCGCGGTGAAGGGCCATGGACCTTCCTGGTTTCATGCGGCTCAAGAGTTGCCACAAAATTCAGAGGCCCAAGCACTCGGACTGCTAAAATGTTTTCAGACAGGTGTATCGCGAGACTTCCAGACTCGAAGCTACCACAACCTTGCGGGAGAGCTTGAAGGCGTCTGCAAGAACTTGCCTATCAGAATCTTGCGCAGTTAGACACAGAAAGTGCCAAAATCCGGAAATGAATTCGTCTACTGTCTATTTATGAGATGTATCCTTGTCTCGATTTTCTTTCACCTGGGCGTGGAGTCGCCCACCCACTCTTCCTGAGAGCGGATGTCTTGTGTTTACTGCAAGGAGTCGGCGCAAATACTGTTGGCACTTCGCAGGGGACAAACAGCAACCTGCTGGTCGCCTCGGCTCACAGTGCAGCACGCCCGTGCATGACTGACGTTTGCTACCTTGCACTACTTGGTAGCCGGCAACTGTTCGAACAGAAGCCGTGGTAGCACGTGATGAATCATCTGTCAAAGCCACATGAAGTCATGTCTAGTGGAGATATTACAGATCAGTCTTCAAGAGGACCGACAGCGTCAGGGCCGGGCTACTTTTCCTTTCTTTCTGGGCCTCCCAACGGAGAGCGAAGGCCAGCCGAGTTCGCAAGCGGTACGCTCCCCCATCCTGTCGGTATAATCTCTAGAACTGCCCCCGGCCCCAACCCTCGAACGCTGCGAGTGGAGGGCTTTGGTTGTGAAGTTTTGAGGCCTTCAGGTTGGACAGCTTGGACAGTGCTATTTGGTCTGGGTTCTCTTTGGCTTGCATTTACCGATCCGACGCCACCTTTAGAGCAGGGAGCTTCTCTCTTGTGTTCGTATCAAGGTAGGAAGTATCGTCATCTGCGAGTGTTAATTGTGTAAGGCTTCGACACCCTCGACCCAAACTTTTGTAAAGCCCTAAAGTCACCAAAAGCCTATCCGGAGCGCCCCTGAGCTTCGGGAGCCCGGGATCGACCGAAACCCCAGCAGACTTGCTTAGGGATGTTGAGGGATTATAAGGACAGTTCTTGGGAGTTCTCGAAGCCCTGAGTTCGGAGTTCTGAAACTTCCGGTGCCCTCCGCAGGTCCGCACTGCGTTGGACCTGTGCCAGGGGCTCTGGAAACTCCGGGGTTCCAGGGCACCGTTCTTGAGGATTAAGGGTTTTAGGGTGTATGGGGCTTAGGGTTTAGGTCTGCAGAAGTTTAAAGTTTGGGGTATTTCGGGTGTATGGAGTTGCAAGTCCAAGATGCTTGAGCTGTCGGTTTGGCGATTTTCGAGTTCGGTGGGTCTGTGGTAAGGTCGGCCAAATCTTCTCGAGTCTTCGGGGCCAAAATTCGCACAGCCTCCACGGCCGAGGCCAAGGCTATAGGAGTTACTCAGGATCTGCATAATCGGTTCTGGTTTCAGTGTAACCCCAAAAAGCGCGAATAAAGGTGGAATAGAACACCGAGCCCTGTACCCGGAACTTTAAGGAACGGGTTCGGGGTTCAGGGATCGGTGGAAACCTGACTCCGGAGAATGGGAACCCTTTCCCTTTTCACATGCGATGGGCAGGCTAAGTGTAGCAACATTGCTGTCGACCGGTACCTACCATCAGCCATCAGCTTAGTGTCAGAAGAAACTAAGAGGAAGCACGAAAGTCTGTTTGCCATGTTGCTGTTCTTGTGCCGAATGCTATCGCAAGCTCCGATTCTTCCAAGAGTGCAGAACACATGATGGACAAGTAGCTGGAGAAGACAGGGGTTCAGGCAGGGTGTGCCAGCATTCAGCACACCGGGCTTGCGGTGACGAAGTATCTAGTTGACGGAACTTCGCACGCATCCCGTTTGGCCATGTCCGACTCCGGCGAGGAGGAGGTTCGGCTGCTGTGTGGAGCGGACGTTGAGTCAGAGGAGGATGAGGAGTTGGTGCTAGAGGGACACTTGGCGATCAGAGCCCCCAAGACTGCCCTCCGCATATGGGTAATTGTCAAAATTAGGGTCCCTTTTTGGGTCCTTATTACAATACGGCACCTCTTATTTAGGGTACCCAAAAAGGGACCCTAATTTTGACAACAACCCATATGCCATATACTGCACCGTGACACGAAGGATTGTTTTCCCACATCCAGTATTGAACGGTCATGTCAGCATGTCGCATTTCAGAACATTTGCGATGCTCAGCGTGTTGCGCTGAAGATAAGCAGACATCTCAGGATACCGAGGTGGGATGCTGACCGAGTATGTGAACGGCAGGGGTGATACAGTGAACTGCAGCAACTCCATCAAGGTTTACACGGCCATGAGCACGCATAACTTGGAAGGTCGATGACCAGTTGGAGGAGTCTCCATGTCTCCTTTGTTTTGCGGTTGAAGTGGAAAGATCCGAACCTGAAGGATTTCAGAGCCAAGCTCACTCTCCAGACGCCGGCGCCACATCAACCTGTGCAGATTCATTCCGATGTACGAGAACTTGAGGTCATTGTTATCCGGAAACATCTGAACGGGGACTTGGAGTACATGGAGGTAGGAAAGGGCGATGTCTACCACACTATCCGGTATGAAGACTACATGTCCTTGAGCGCTCCAGACTGGCAGCAGTACTTCTTAGACGGCGGGTTTGTAGAATACAAAGTGAAGTATGATGCGAGATTTTCGGAAACCTTGGAGCTTCGAAGCTTCCCGCTTGACCGCCAAATCTGCAGGATCAAGTGCTCGGCCGAACTTCCAGCGGAAAAGTTCCAGTTCGTCCCAGAAGCGGGCAGCTCATGGGAAGGGATCACCACGTGCGACATGTGGTGCCCGGGAAGTGATCTGCCAAACGGGAAGAAGGTGAGCTTGCTCTATGTTCGCTACTGCGACAAGCACTATGCATACCCTATACAAAGATCCTGTGCCACAATCCTGATCCATTTGGACCGCGATGGATCCTACTACTTCCATAGTGTGCTGCTGATGGTCTTCATGGTGAACCTTGTCAGCCTGTGTGGCCTGCGCATCTCGCTGAGCCACCTAAGCGGCCGCCTCGGCCACCTCATCACTTGCTTCCTGGCTGTTTTGGCCTATCGCTACGTCATCGACGATAAGCTTCCGCAAAAGCAGTACATGACTGCGGCCGACCGGTACATACTCTCAGCTTGTGTCTTTCTCGTGCTGCTCTGCGTTGAGACAGTGATTATGTGGGCTTGTGACAGGGAGGGCGCATTGAGTTGGTGCAAGACCGTGGATTCAGACATGTTGGATCGATACACCGGTTTTGGTGCGGCAGCCTCATGGATATTGGGAAATGCCATGCTGTACTTTTTGTGGAAGTGTGGCTGTCGGTCGAGCTGGAGCAGCGTCAGTCTATGCTGACAACGAAAGA